TAATTTAAGCGATTCATTATTGTTTTGTGCTTTGTGTGATAATATAGTTCTTGTTTTCATAGCCTACTACACATTTTTTATCCTCTTTTGAAGTTTTACGGCAACAAAAGGAGAAAAACATACAAACAATTATGTTGTAAAATTCAGGAAAAAAATACGGATTTTAAAAGGCCCACAGCCAACTATGATTGCCATTTAAAAACCATAAGTTTATTTTTTATCTCGTAAATCAAGTTGACTATGATAACGAGTGCTAGTTTATTGGATTCAACGCAAAAAGTTGTACTCAGGGCAGTTTTAACTTTTTTTCTAAGTTAAGCAGTTTACGTAATAAGTGATAATTAAAAAAGTGTTGATTTCTTGTCTTTTCAGGATATTTCACGAACCAAGTCGGGTACCTAAATTTTCAAAACCGTAATGTATAGGCAATCGAATTCTGCGCAATTTTGCCCATTTAACGGCTTCTCTATCTTTAAAAATGTAGAAGTTACTCATACAAAGATTCAGAAAATGGCCACCCTGTATACAGGGTGATTCAAACATAATTTTGGTAAATTTAGGCATCGATTGAAGAGCTCCGAAATTGCATTGTTTCGGATATGGGGAGCGTCGAAATAAAAAGACATTCTTCACATTTTTGAACCCTTTATCCGATTAAAGTAAAATTCGGAATAAAAAACACCTCTAAATACTCAAAATTTTCTCCTAAAGTGTATTTTGTGTGCGACCCTCCTTCTCATTTATTTCAAAATCTCAACAGCAAAAGTGTATTTCAATAAAATACCTGCATCGGTTTATTCATCGATTCAATTTGTAACTTTATATATCTTGGATTTTTTGGCATTTCATCTTGTTTGTCAAATATTTAATGAAGTTCTAGACAATGTAGCGCATCATTCACCTAAATTTAATTTGACGTTACAGCAAGCCAGCGAAACTCACAAAGAATTATGTAAACTAACCTTTATGCAGAATATTTATTATTCCTTCTAAGTTTTTGTGTTCCGAATTTGAACTTAATCAAATGAGAAAAAATTAAAAAAAAATTGCATCATATAGGAAAAAAACATTCTACTACTTCTACTTCTAAATAGGAATATTCTAACCTGTTCCTTCGATTACTCAACTTATCAAAATTAAGCCTGAATCACCCTGTTTTTGAGAAAAATCTGGACTTTCAATTGAAAAACAACTTGCCTCATGATGACCTATGAATCAAATACTACAAATATTCTGTTTTCTAAAGTCTTCAATTTTAAACCGAACTATTCGACTTCCTTTGGAGATTTTTTTTACCAATTTGTTAATCACTTTTAAGCTGAGTCACCATTAGGACGTGTTTCGTGCCTATACAGCGATCCTTATATATATTCTTATATAGTTAATTTATAAATTCTTGGGGATGTCGTCCGAATTGGGAAATTTGAGTTTAAGCTAGATGTACACCCATATCCAAAATGTTAAACTTCTTTATTTTCCAACGTTTCGGCAGTGCTGTGGTGCCTTCCTCAGGGTTACAGATAATGAATTAATTAAGACATGATTCCATGTCAGCACAAAAACAATCCAAAACACATGTCACGGTACACAAATTAAATTTGTTGGTCACACGTTAAAAATTTGTGGAATTTAAATTAAAATAAAAAAAGAGATAATGTCGACTCCATTCCTCCACAGCCAGAATAGTCAGAATCGAGCTCTACCATACTCATCAATTGAAGATAAACCCAGAGGTTTATTGTAATGCACCCTGTTACATGTGAAGAAAACCAAGCAACACATCTTCTTATTGCCAACAATTAATAATAATAAAAAACTTTTAAGCTTTGCATAATGGTTTACAATATAATCGTTTGCCTTGTGTTGAAATTCTCCTCAAATAATCTAAGTAAATAACTCCATCATCCAACATCCCAAACTCGCATACCTTTTTCCCAATTTTACTACTACCTCTCATTAAAATGCATTAAGGCTGAAAATTGAATCACTTCGGTCTCATAATATATTCAGTAAACGACCATAATCTGAGGAGTTAACGCACATTTCACTTAATCTTTATTTAGGAAAATAAATCTGCTCTTCATGAAGCGTGTCAGGGTGGACATGTAGAAGTGACTCAAATGCTTCTGGCCAGAGAGGCCGCTATGGAGGCTCGTGATAATCAAGAAAACACTCCCTTACATGTAGCTGTTCAACATCAGCAAAATCAAATAGTGCAAATTTTACTAGATAATGGTGCTGATCCTGATTGTGAAAACCAGGTAAGGGAAATTGGCTGCATTTTGTTACGTAAATTAAATTTGTTATAAACATGCTAAAAAATGCTTAATTGCAATAATTTCAACTGCAGCAGAAATTCACTTTATTTAAAACGTTGTAAAACAATATGTTATGCAATTTAGTATCAGTTATAACATTTCAGAGTTTAATTAAACTCGTATTTTACGCACAGTATAAATTTTGCATTCGATATTTTTTATTTTTATGGAATGAGTTCATCAGCAGTCAATAATATTTTAATTCGAGATCCAGTTCAAGAGCAAAATCAATACGTTAGGGGCCATTGTTAAAAATGTCTTGTTTTGCATTTAATAAAGTCGTGTTTTTATGAAATTTCTGCCGAAAACGTAGCCCTAAATTGATTTAAACCCAAACTGATCAATCGACAAAAAAGCGACATTTCAAAAAAATACTCTAATCCTATCAGCAACCGTAAAAATCGCCCAGTTAAATCAGCAAATTTACTTAAAGATTTATCTCTAATACACCATTCAGAAATAACAAGCTTCACTTTTCTCCGATTTTTTTTAATTTTCTTAACTCAACTTCATCTCCAATAACCGAAGACATTATTCTATAACGATATATCTGTAAAATTGGATCGGAACTTCTGGGTGCTTAGAAGCCACAGCTGAATTGGACCTAGCGAAATGTACAAACAATTATATTTTCCAACAAGAATTCTATTCAAACTGTCATCAATTTATCCAAACCTGTAGTAACTCTATGGTCTCATATTAAATGGAGGAAATTTCCGCACAATTTATAAACACACATAAAATGGCTTAAATTGTCGAGTAAACCAACAAAAACACCTCAATTGCTTTCCAATAAAATCAATATCCAAAGGATAACAGAAGCTAAATGAAACTAGATACCACAAACTGAAATTTCCTTGTTTTTCTGTCTGGGACGGCACATATTATTTCATGTATTTTCATTATTTTAACGTTTAATTGTCATACACCTGCACCCTTCTCGAATATAAAAAATGTACAATCTTTCCTGCTGGCTCGTTTGGCTAATATTTACATTGTGGAGCTTTTGTTATTGATTACCCATTTCCCTTCACCAGTTTACAAACAGTGTGAATTGAATTTTGTACATTATGTTTTGCGTTAAACTTGAGTTTAGTTAATTATTAAGCCGATGTTTGTATTTTTCGATGCATGTAATACTGTTGGCATGAATGAATTAAAATTTTAATTCATTTGCTGAAGTAAATCAGTGAAATGAATCAAAACGGATCTAGAATAACCATTATTTAGTGTAGATAAATCACAAATTACTATACTGTTTAGGTCTAAATAAATAATTTTACTACCGCGATTAAGTAAATAGGCAATCAATATTTTATAACGTATAAAGTTTTAATGTACATCATTAGGGGTCATGGCAATTGAAATAATGGTTCGAACGGTAATGGCCCTTCCATTATCAGAATATTAACAAAACATGGGTTTTGTTCCATCCACATTCGAAGACTTCAAAATGTAGCGTTAAAAAAATTCTTGCAAAGTATCTAATAGCTAATGCATAATAGCAAAAAGTGACACCGGACAGTAAATAATGTGTAATTCGACTTATGGGAATACTAAAAGGTGAAAGGTTAAATTGTATTATTTAAAAGGTTATCAAGATAATATCATGTAATTTGGGTTAAAGTACAAAACAAGTATTATATTTTGTATAATGAATAATACAAAAAATATCCTTTTTAGAAGGGTAATACACCGGTGCACATAGCAGCCAGTCTAGGAAGCAAAGGAATATTGAACTCGCTATTGCAACATGGAGCGTCTTTAGCAGTACAAAATCAGGTAATCAAAATGTTTAAAAACACTCAGATTCTTTCCAGAGTTTTAATATATTTTATATAAACACTCTTTGCCGCAATTTATAGATATGTATAATATATTAATAATCTAAGGTTTATTATATATTTTTATGCATTATTTAAACACGGTACTTTTTGCCTTCTAAATATATAATTGGAATAAAGTTTTGCTTTCCCTAAAACATATTCACTTCCGATAATTTCTACATTTACTATGTGTATAAAAGATATATTAAACGCATAAACGTGACAACGCTATATTAAAATCTGCTCCCCATTATTTTTACAAGGTCATTTTTTTAAGTGTTCTACTTCGATATTTTTTTGTGAACTTTCAGAAATGTTTAGGAAAATATGTTATTTCGTTGGTACAAAGTGCCGATAAATRCGCAATTTTACAGTTGCAGCAACTTTTCCAGCTTTTATAAATAGTAATTTATATTTAAACACCAAAATTATACAGAGCGTTCGATGGTAACATTTTTTTTTCGGAATATATAGCGTTTTCAAAATATTTTTGACTCTACTAGAGATATTTTATATCTAGACACAGTTAATAAATATAATTATTTTACCATAAAAATCAGGTAATTACAGCCTTAGTAGTGGCTTTGACTCTTATATTTGCAAAGACATAAACAACCGTCTTTTTTATAAATATGTTATATTTTTCAAAAAAAACGCCGCATATCAGACCGTGACTTTAACGTGCTTTTATGTTTGAAATTAAACGAAAAAGTTAAACATAATTTTAATGTACAAGAAACCATCATTGTGAAACTTTAATTTCAGTTAATATTCTTAATGAAAAATGTATGGATCCTCCGGTGTTGATGGTGAAAAGTTTTTCAGTAAAAAATTATATTTTTTTGCATTATCGGTAGAATGTTTTGACATATTTTAATGGTAAATTCTCGAGGGCCTTGAGTGTAAAAAATTACCACAACTTTTAAGTTGGAAGCTGGAATTATTTAAAATATTTTTGGTGATGCTTTAATATTTTTTCAAGATTCTTGTGCTCTTTGCAAAATCCTATAGTATTCAGTTAATGCRCAAAAAAAGTTTCTTCACCATTTACGAATGTTAAACGAATCACAATCAGCATTTTTTTTTCCTAAAATTGACTCCACCACAAATTATTTTCGCAAAACCTTAAAACTTTCATCATTTATTAGAAAACGCTTGATAGTTTAATGTCTTAATGTTATTAAATAGCAAGAAAACAGAAGAAAATTGTTTGAGCAAAAAATGTGAATGCTACAAGATTGTATCAGGAGCACAGAAATAGCGGGAAAGGGTTAAGGTCTAACTGAATTAAAAAATGAATTAATTCGACCCACCAACGAAAAAGTTCTGATATATTTCATAACAAGACTCGCAAGAATTAGCCAATGTGAATGAGCGGAGTAGTTTCATAGAAATATGAGTCGAATCCACAGAAATTTAATTAAAATCCATCTGCCCCGAATCCTCTCAATATTGCAAACAATTATTTTTTGAAGAACTTTGTCCATCAATAGCGGACTAGCCAGGCATTCGTAAGTTCAAGACAAGGCAGAAGACAGATCGTCTTCTTTTGAACCAAATAATGTTCCATTTTACCAAACCATGTTGATCATATTCTTATCAGACACCCAGTAGAAAAATACATTTTTTATTAACATTCAGTACATTCTAAAAATAACTGAACCATCTCAAACGGTTTAAAAAAATGCAGTCATTTGCCTTTTGTTCCTAAACTAATACACGCAGTATTTTTTTTACAAAAAATTTTTGGACCAGATGTCAAAAAGCCTGTCGAATCGAAAGACCCTGTATAAATATTTTTGATAATATTGAGAAATCTACTAAAAAGTACTGAAATGTAAAAAAGCTACCCTGTCAGTCAAGAATTTAGGAACCTAATTAATTTATACTCTAAAGCATTTCAGTTCTCCTTAAATGTGAACAAAACACTTTATATCGAAATAAATCCCCAAAATGATTGTCTGTGCTCCAAACTTTTATCAACACAGCCACAGCAAACGCACTTGGCACATATTTACGCAGTAATTTCAAGCTTATTTAAAGGAGCTACAGCAGACTAAATAAAGTGCAAAAGCATACCGAAATCAATTGAAAAGCTATACAAAAGAACAAAGCAAATATAAGAGCGTGAAAATCGAAACCATCACGAGGTAAACACAGAAGCGCGAAAATGAAAGATCAACAAGTAAACGCAATCATGGAGAGCAAATAGCTCTATAAGCATATTAAAGATACCTCATCCGTCTCAGCTAATTGAAAAAATAGCCGAACATAATACAAATAATTTGATTTATTCTCTAACGTATTTAATAAAACTTCACTCAGGCAATTTCAATAAACGTTAGGAAACTTGCACATTTGCTTGAACCCTTAGCACAAGTAGGTAAGTAGATACCCTCTTCGGGTCAGCTTTTGTTATTATAAACTATAATTTCCGCACCTATTCCCTAAGTTAAATATTGTTTCAGAGCGGTAATACAGCCCTACACATGGCTTGCCAAGCAAACGAGGCCGAGACTGTGGAAATTCTGATAAATAAAGGAGCTAATCTTAACTGTCTGAATAAGGTAAGGAGACCGCTATTTATAATAATACAAACATGGAGAAGTTAGGTAAACCCTCACGAATTTAATAGTGTTTTATGTCGGCTCGTATGCTTTAACCAGACCTCCGAGCTTGATTCTAATCCAATTATAAGGAAATTCATCATATTGTTCAGCCAAGGACAGGTCTCTGATGGATTACAATACTAGGAAAATTGAATTAGTTTTGTATTAATTAATAAACACATGGGATGTGCGAAACATCGTGCCTTCAGAAAGCTGATTAATTACGTTTACCAGAGCAAACAAATGTAATTTCTTATTATGGAGAGAAACAGGTAAAGCTTCATGGAGGAAGTTAATATTGGTGGAATTTGTTAAGAACCGATAGAATTATTTTTATGTCAATAATCAGTGGCGCTTCAGATTTGCTGTGAAAATTATAGTTTTTTCCAGTGGCGTATAAGTAAGGAGGGAAACCCACCCGCTACCTTAAAAGCTCCACGTCGTAAAGTGTGTAAAAAAGTTCAATCACTTCTAAATGTAAACGGTTTCTAACATATCGGTAAAAACTAAAAATAATTTAAACTTTTGACACCCTGTATCTCGCAAACAAAATTGGGAAAGGAAAAAAGGTGCTTTTTTAAGAAGAACCTACACTTTTCGGCCAGGACACTTATTAAGAAACACTCTGTATAAAGCATAATAAAAAATAATTACAACTTGATTTTTTCGTTAAATAAGTTTTGGACACGGCTTACCTTTGGCTTACTACCAGAAGCAATTAAATTTGTTTAACTCTTCGGCGTCTTGAAGGTATCAAAATTTAACGACTTTCTCAATGCGCTGGTTTTGTATCATACTTTCGTAATTTTTCTAAACCTTTGTAATGGTAAATTCTACATTTAAACCATTAATTCCAAAATTTTGTCAATTTAGATTGCAAAACTCAGGCACGTGTTTAAATTCTAGAAACATTTAAGAAAAATAAAAAATTTTGCATTTCAACTTAAGAAAAAAGTAAAACCTCCGTATTATAGATAATTTTGTGTATAAACAAATAAACTACAACGTATTGACAGGAGACGAGTTTCGTAATTTGTAACTTTTTTTCGGTTTTTAATTCTTATTTTACTGCGTGACAAAAAACATCGGAGCCAATTTTGTCGCCTCTCTAAAAGTGTGTATTTAATTTATTTTTGATTGATTAGGTTCTTATTACTTATTGTTGAATAATTTGGTTTTCTAACTTTCTTCTATAGAGTCTGTACTAATACAGCAAAATAATTTTGAAATAAAAAGAAAGTGGTAGAACTTTAGTACAGCTTAATTGATAAATATTGCTCCTTCAAAGTTTAGCCTGAAAATATGTCCACATATCATTTAAATGCAGCATATATGGTTTAAAACTTAAACCTGAAGTCTCGAAAGTATGTTGGATCGCGGTGAAATTCTCTATTTTGTGGATACTGAAAAGTAACAAAATGCAATTAAATTTATCCGGTTGTTCCTCATAAAGTATAAAACAGGACATGAAAGCAAAGGCTCCTTAAAGTTAACCTTTTAAACGAATTTGTCGAATCGTTGTTGATAAACCTGAGGCCATTGAATTCAACATAATTATCAATAATATAAAAAAACAAACAGCATTTTTTTGAAATGTTCCTCATGTTCTTTGATTTGATCTGCGAGAGTTTACCTTGAGTTGTATTAAGAGTAAACACACAAAAAGGAGATTTGCATGCAACACGGGTTCTTGCTCCAGATATTTATATAGAATGTTTTATATTTTGTAATTTAAATACAAATGCAAGCAAAAATAATTGCCTCTCAATGTTGTTTTGACACAGACTGCCCACGAACGCGGCCGCTACACAAAAATAAGCCAAATGTTGATTTCGGATGTCAGTATTTTTCACTTTTGCCCGCAATCCGTCCTCATTTACAGCCTTTTCTGACTAAATCCGATTAAATATTTGCTGCAGATTTAACATTGACTAATTGATCGCAAGTAGATTTAAGCCCATTGAAGCTGACTGTAGCTTATACTGCTTAATAAATGAATAATGAGGGCTATTACTACTCGAACCGTAGGCCAGGCTTAATCATACCGTACAGTAGAATAGCAATTATTCAAGAATATGGTAGAAATACTTTATCCACGAGGACTGGAAAATATAAAGATTAAAGTTGAGTTTATTCTAACACTGGAATCGGTCAAATTTCTGTTGCTTCCAATTATATGTTGCTAATATAATTTAAATTATTTTTTGTGGCAACGATCATCACTGGTAGTTGCGTAACATGCGCCATTATACCTCAAAACTCAAACAGGTTGGTAATTATATTGTTTATACTTCAGTTTTTAAAGAATAATGAACACAAGTTTCAATGGTGGTGTATAGAAGTATTTTCTAGTACTAACTTGAAAAGTTATTATTATTAGACCTCAACAGTTTCAAATAATCAGTTACTACTTTGTGGCTCAATAATCAATAAGACACTTGATGGATGTGTGGTTTGGAACAATAATAAAAAATAAACATTGGCTACAATAATGATTTGTCTTTCTTATGTATATTTGTCATCAGAAGAATCAATCATAAAATTGTCTTTTCAAAAAACAAGTTTATATTTTACTTCACTTTTCCTTCAGCCTAAAAAAGCCGTCGTTTCCTTAAAATGAGCAAAAACATGTTTATTTTTCTAACAGCAAACTTTTTTTTTCATGTTTCTTATTGATTTTTTTCGATCGCTACTTGGACGCTACTTCGATCACCTAATAACTGAATCAGTTAACAAATTTATTCCCTTATTTCACACTCTATTCAGTAGCTCAAACTTTGATTAATTATAATAAAATAATTATTAAAATTATACATAGTCACTTTTACAACCTGCGCAATAAACTGCTCAAGAAAATCACACAGCCAAATTTGCCCTAACTTAGAAAGTGGATAAAATACGATTACTTCAGGCGATTTGATTTCTATTTGAAGCTTTATTTAGCCAGATTTGCTTTTTAGTCGTCAATGTTTTTGCAAAAATTGAGCAACTCAAATACAATTTATACAGGGTGACAAATGAAAAAAATAAATATCGGAAAGTTTTGCATCGTCCTAGTTGGACAAAAATAACGTTTTTTGCGACTTCTACACCAAAAGTTTAAAGATAAACCAAATAGCTCGAAACGGTTTTTGACTTATTCGGACAACAATTCTATTTTCTATGGGATAGTCTCAAAAAATAATATTTTAAATCTGGCAGCGATAACTTTTCTGCTCTTAGTTCAAGTCAAACTTTTAGCTTAACACGAGTCTTAAATTTTGCTAATCGGTTTGAAGGAAAAAAATTATCACCGCAATACCAAAAAATAATTAAACAACATGAGCCAAAAATTTAAAAACTTTTTTTCATATGCGACGGCTATCTTAATGCTTGTGATATTGAAATACAAAAGAATATAATCTAAAATATAATCAATTAAGTAGAATGATCTAATCAATATGAGTATTGGTATAATATATTTTCAACATGTGAAACAAGCTGGATTTTGGAAGTTGAAGTTGAGTTGGCAACAAGTTGGATTTCTATATAGATAAATATACGTAATTTGTATGGAAAAAATCACACATTTTTTGTAATCTTATGAGGAGTTAGAACAGAGGTTTAATAAATTAAACCTGGCGTTTGGAAGTGTAAGCTTTAAAATTAAGTGAAATATAAAAATTTTGAAAAAATAAGACGGAGATCGACAAAAATATATACTTGAGACACACTGCTAAAATAAGAAACAGGCCAAGATGTAAAACGCATGAAATTGATATGAGCAGCTTTCGGAAAGCTCGAACACATCCTGAAGAACAAATCCCAGTTATTTTACAATACATTCCTTCTGCCTAAATTTTTGTATATTTTGGGAAGACTCAGGTCAAA